ATCCCATGCGATGAAAAGTATAATAGAGAATCATACTAAAACCAATGACTTGTGCGATATGGAGAAAACACTAATAACAAAATTACCACAAATATTTATACCATGGAAAAAAGTAAAAGACCCGAACCTGATTGAGAATAAGGAAGACCTATGCAGCAAAGAGAGCAAGATAACAAAAGATACATAGAAGCTAATATAGTTTATATGAGCAAATGGCTTGGGCATGTCCACTTTAGGGTTTTTTAACTTCTATAACATCAAGACCCTAACTAATGAGAGAGAGAGAGGGGTGTGCATGTATTGAGAGGGGTTATTTAATATCTATTATATTTTTTATTATTTTAATAAAGATTAAAAAATATTTTGGCCATAAATACTTATATTTATATTTTTGTAAACATAGACTCTCAGTTGCTTCAAGCCATAACAAAAACATCCAATACAATGAAAAATATAATAGACAATCACATTAAAACTAATTAATCATGCGATAAGGAGAAAACCCTGATAACTAAATTGCCACAAATGGATCATAAGACCATCCTAAGAATTTTTTACATCAAAATTATATGTTATGATAAAATTTGAAAGTGCACTTTATTTAGATTGATTAAGGTTGCAACTCCCCATAGTATGCAAAATAATGTTGTAGAAGTAGTTTGTCTCAAAAGTCATTATTTTGAACAAAATCATTCATCTTGTCACAAACTATGGGGGGTGGTTCCACAAGTTATCTTAGGCCTGTTTCAGAGAGTACTTGGAAAATCAGTTAAATTTGGTTTTCTCGAGTGTGTTAAAAAAGCTATTGATATTTGTAGGGTTTGAGTATTACATGACGATTTATTTTTAGTAAAAAAAAAAGTCACAATCACCTCTTGATGCTGGACGGGAAATTTGGCAAACATGGGTTTGGGACTTTAAGTGCGGTTAATATGGCACATTCCCAGACGTTTGATTTCAGATCTGATGACCAAAGGTGATTTACCATGTACGAAAGATAAGTGATCTTATTATATACTTTTGCCTATTTACAACGGGTTTGAATGTTGTTAAAGGGGGGAGTGTTCAAAAGAGCTTATTAAAATATGGGTGTGGTTTGTATAAGGTTGCAACCTTAAACAATCCAAATAAGGTGCACTTCCAAATTTTATCATTAGATATAATTTTGATGTCAAAAAGGTCATAATTTTGATAAACTTGTTGAACCACCCCCCATTGTATGCAAAATAATGTTGATGCAGTATAACGTAATTAGAAGGTAATAACCACTTCTATAAGTACAAAAGGTGGATGCAATCTTTGTTTTTGAAAATGACTAGGACATTCTGGTCATTTGAAGGATATCATTTCAAGATCATGGATAAACCATGCAGGCATAAAACACAAGGCCCCTTCCACAGCCCATAGCTTAATTGCCTCAAATACATTGTCTTAACTGCATTATGAGAATTTAAAAGTCAGGAAAACACTATTATCTTTTTCCTTTAGTAATATTTTGCTACAATAAAGGATAATATTGTTATGCAGTAAACTAAACCATTTACAAAATTGGACAACGATACATCTCAATCCCGAAACCAGTCACCTACATGTTTAGTGCCGGACACTTTCTTCAATTCTTGTAAGTGCATCTGTAAGCACATCAACAGTCCAATCCTTGACATCTTCCTGCAAAAACAAGCCAATTGCATTTTATTATATATACAAACAACTTAATCTATTTTATAAAACAATAATCTTGAACATCAAGAACTTGAAATTAGAGATTGCAAGTTCTCTTAAATGTCATCACCTGCTCTTATTCCTGTGAAAGAGCGGTATGGTGTACGTTGGCCACTTAAAGATCTCTCTCTCTCTCT